TCAACTTGTAATGGTTCTTTATGATTAAATAAATAAACGACACCAACCTGATTGCGAGATTAAAAAAAAAAAAAAATAAGTTTAATGAAAACTTCAAGATTAAGATTAAATTGGAATCCAAACAAGGATGTTAGTTTTATAAGTAGTGAAAATAGTAGTATAATGTTATATTTTAATGATTAATAATAACAAATAATTAAAATAATTAGAATTAATTTCTATAATAATACTTTATATAATCTTCTCCAACAGACAGCTGAAAAATATAATTGGACCAATGAAATAGATAGGTTTAAAATTAGCAATAGGATTTTTTTTTTTCTGTGTAAGTCCTATCTTAATCTTCTAAATAATTAAAGTTGATTAATTAGAATAATCAATTTGATAAAAGAGAAAACCAGTAGTAAAAAAACTCTTTTTGCTAATTTTCTTGCCAACACAAAAACAGATATTTCAAAAAAATTTTATATTTCTTTGTAATATAGTCTATACACTTTTCTTAACAATATTAATACTCAAAGACTATAGTCTTTTCCCTCTTGTTTCTTTCTCTCTTTGATATAAACTTCTTATATTCCAGCAAGTAAATACAAGAAAAACCTATCTACAAAGTCAAAGGCAAGAACACTTTATTAGGAAAAAGAATTTGTAGAAAAAATACTTTTCTCTCTTCTTCCAGAGATTCAAGACTCTGGAAAAGATTGATATAGACTTTTGAAACTCTTTTCTCATCTTTCTTAGTCTCTTCTCTATTTTTTCAGATGTGTATACTTTTTTCTGATTTTTTTGGAAAATTTTGCCTATCTCAGTTTGACCCTGAATTTTTGGTTATACTATAACTCCTAAATGATAATTGGCTAGAAATTTGGACTAGTTAATCTACATGTAGCAAGAAATATAAACAAGACACGTAACTTTCACATGTTCTATCTTGTATAACAATAAATCCAATGATGCCATTGGATACAGTGAAAAGAGTAAGGTAATGAGGTGTTCATTTTGTTAAGATGTGTTATAGTCCTTCCTCTTTTTTCTTGGACTGATTTCTTTTCTTTTCAAGATCAAAGAAGTTTTATTCCAATTCAATAACAAGCTTCTTCTATTGTTGATTATCTCGAAAATGGTTGGAGAAAGGAGTCTTGAAACTATCCATTAGTTGAATGAAGCTATAAATTCTTGGAGATTTTGCTGGAAGAGAAATCACTAATTAAAATATCAACCCTCTTCAAGGTTAGAAGTAGGGCTCCTAATGATATCACTTTGATACCACTTCGATATCAGTTCGATACTTAAATTTACTATAAAAACATATGAATAGGTCACAACTCATATATTAAATTTACTATAGATTGATACTATTTTGATACTAGTTTAATACCAGTTTGATACTTTTTTAAAGCCCTAGTTAGAAGTCTTCAAGTATAAAGTTTCAAGAAATACTCTTCTGGAAGTGCCCTTAAATATTCTTGGTTAACAATGAAATAGTAGAAATTAAATAGTTCACCTAGTTGCAGGTAGTGATAAAGGATTTATCCTGATGGACTAAAGTTGAGATTGGAGAGTTTTTATTTATCAGAACAAACTCTTCAACTATCTTTTTTATTTTTTCTCAAAAAATAAAAATTTTTTTACCTCTTAGGACTACAGGGTCATTTGGAAATGACAATCTGAATATAGGTTGGCTGAGATCTTTCAAGACATAATACATGAGTTCTAATCTTGAAAGGAAGCAATTTCTTTATTCCTAATGATTACATCTAGAGAGTTTAGATTTAGAAAGTCTAAGATAGTTAATATTATACAGTAATAGCTTAATGAACCTACTTTCTTGTAGTGAAATAGTTAATAAATAGCTAAATCATATGGGCAACATGGTGATCTTGGTATTAAGGATTCAAGAATTACATATAAATCTAAATTCATTGATGAGTGTTCTGCATGATTGTGCTAATTTAACTCTAGTATAGTATTTATATTGTACTATTGTTCTCCAAATTGGATTAATAAACACTTACACTTGTAGTCTGATTAGAGGCTAAAAAAAAAAAAAAAGAGAAAACCAGTAGTATTAAAAACAGTATTCATTAGATAGCATTAATTTACATCTAGAATAGAAATAGTCTAGCTTGTAAAGATGTTTAATGTAATGACACGATATATCAATTATCAATAAAACCTCACATTTAATGCCCTTAGCCAATTAAAAATAATAATAACAATAATAAAAAATGATAATCTGTAGACAATAATTATTAATTTAATAAACATGTGATACCAACCGAAAATAAAGTTAGGTCATTTAGAAAGAGTAAATATTTAATTCGTTACTATATTTGGACACCTTTGTAGGAACTGGTAAAATTAATTGGAGCTGATTTAATTTCTTTTTGAAAGTTTGTAGTGATTCTATAAAATGAATCCTATTACAATTTTGTCTCGAGTAACTCGTCCGCTTTTAGGTCGCAAACAGATACCACCTTCATTTTCCTCTTACATTAATAATTTTCGATATAACGCAGCTTATCTTAGCTCTAGTGCTGTTCGTAAAAAAGTCAGTCACGTAAATTCTTATCCACCGGAACCTTCTCCAAACGATGTTTTTTTACAAGGGAACGCGGCAAACTACATTGAAGAGATGTATAGTTCCTGGCAAAAAGATCCAAAATCAGTTCATTTATCATGGCAAGTTTACTTCAAAAATATACAAAATGGTGTGAATCCGAAAATAGCATATCAGCCTCCACCAACAATAGTTCCCTTGACCGGGCTGTCCACTTCCGTTGCTGCGGTAGCTTCAACTTCTAGCTCCTATGATGTAAATGACCACATGAAAGTTCAACTTTTGGTGAGAGCCTACCAAATCCGCGGTCACCGTATCGCAAATTTAGATCCATTGGGTATTTTGAACGCTGACCTGGATTCATCGATACCAAAAGAACTTGATCCAGGTCATTATGGCTTTACGGAGAGAGATCTCGACAGGGAATTTTCTTTAGGTCCAGGGATTTTATCAGGATTTTCAGAAACCGGAGAAAAAAGCATGAAACTTCGTGAAATTATCGAGCGTTGCAAACAAATATATTGTAAGCGAACCGGCGATTTTTCATTTCCTGTTGAAAAACAATGTTGAAATCAAATTTGCATCATAATCTCGGTACTTTTAGGTGGAAATATTGGATTCGAATATATTCATATTCCAGATAGAGTTCAGTGTGATTGGATTCGATCACGAATAGAAATCCCGAAACCATACAATTACACGACAGGTTGACTTATTAAAGTTTCTTTTGCCTATGTGTTTTTGATTATTTTAACGTGAGGTTGTTTTAGAACAAAAAAGAATGATATTGGATCGTTTGATATGGTCCGATTCATTTGAGAGATTCATTTCCTCTAAATACCCAAATGAGAAAAGATTTGGTTTGGAAGGATGTGAAAGCTTAATCCCGGGAATGAAAGCATTGGTAAGGATTTTCAGTCTAGATTTATGAAAAATATTTATACAGGTCGTTTTTTTGGGATTGTGTAGAAATATGGTATCTATGACTAGACTATTTTTCTTGCTACCTTGCCAAATTACTTACAAGTTACGTAATTCACAATACCATCGACTCAATTCATACTCTTAGTAGAGCGTTCCAGAGGATGGTTAATGTTTATTTGCAGAATATTACGAAGATGATAATGAATCCAATAAATCAGTTCCAAATTAAGTAACTATATTTCTTATTTATACGACAGATCGATAGATCAGTTGATCTTGACATCGAATCGATTGTGATTGGTATGCCTCATCGAGGTCGCCTGAATGTACTTAGCAATGTGGTCCGCAAACCAAATGAATCTATATTTTGCGAGTTCACTGGATCATTGGAACCCAGTGATGAAGGTTCAGGTGATGTCAAGTATCATTTGGGTATGAATTATGATCGACCAACTCCATCTGGCAAGCGGGTTCATCTCTCTTTAGCTGCTAATCCGTCCCACTTGGAGGCAGTGGATCCTGTTGTCCTAGGAAAAGTTCGGGCCCTTCAACATTATATGAAAGATGAAAAAGAACGCCATCGTTCCATGGGTATGCTGATACATGGTGATGCAGCTTTTGCAGCTCAAGGAGTTGTTTATGAAACTATTGGGCTTCAAGATTTGCCAAATTACACGACAGGTGGAACAGTTCATTTGGTTGTCAACAATCAAATTGGTTTCACCACTGATCCTCGATTCGCTCGTTCGACTCCATATTGTACCGATATTGCGAAGGTGGTGAATGCGCCCGTTTTTCACGTGAATGGTGACGACGTGGAGGCTGTAACATTCGTTTGCCAACTTGCAGCGGAATGGCGACAGACCTTCGGTAAAGATGTAGTTGTCGACATCGTCTGCTATCGTAAACATGGTCACAATGAAGTAGATCAGCCTAGCTTTACCCATCCAAGAATGTACAAACAAATCGCGAAGCAAACTAGTACACTTGATAAGTACGTTCAAAAGCTTTTGAACGAAGGCACCTTTTCGATAGAAGAAATTCAAAAGCTTAAAGAGTGGGTATGGGATATTCTGAAAGAAAGTTACGCGGCAAGCGGCGATTATAAGCCTACTAGCCGTGAATGGCTTGCCAATTCATGGAATGGTAAGAGGGAAAGATTGATTTATTTTATTTTATTTTATTTATTTTCTGCATGTTATTTAAATTTTATTCTAAACCATTATAAGGCTTTATGTCACCTAAAGAGCTTGCTGAGAAAACCACACCCGTGTATCCAACTGGTTCATCGATAGAATTATTAAAACATGTTGGAAAGGTTATTAGTTCTTATCCAAAGAATTTCCATGTTCATTCAGGTATTAATAGAATATTAAACAGCCGATCAAAGAGCATTAAAGAAGGAAAGAATATTGATTGGTCAACAGCCGAAAGTCTTGCCTTTGGTTCCTTGCTTGATGAAGGAAAACATGTTCGTTTGTCAGGTCAAGATGTTGAGCGTGGTACGTTTTCGCAACGTCATTCCGTCCTTCACGATCAAGAAAACGAGTCACAGTATGTCCCATTGAATGATTTGAGGCCGGGACAAGCTCCTTATACCGTTTGTAATTCATCGCTCTCTGAATTTGGTGTTCTGGGATTTGAATTGGGTTATTCCTTGGTTGATCCTAGTTCCCTAGTATTATGGGAGGCGCAATTCGGTGATTTTTCCAACAATGCTCAATGTATTATTGACCAATTTATCTCTTCGGGCGAAAAGAAGTGGCTTCAACGAACAGGATTGGTGATGTTACTCCCCCATGGTTACGATGGACAAGGTCCTGAGCATTCTAGCGGACGCATTGAACGTTTTCTTCAGCTTTGCGATGATCATCCTTACATCTATCCATCACCAGAAAAGATGTCACGTCAACATCAAGATTGCAATATGCAAGTAGTCTATTGTACTACACCAGCTAATTATTTCCACGTTTTGAGAAGGCAGATTCATCGCGACTTTAGAAAACCGGTGTGTACTTGATATTCAGCAAGTCAAAACTTATGCAAAGAACTATCATCAGTGCTAATATTAATCTTGATATCCCATTTATAGCTTATCGTTTTTACATCAAAGAGTCTTCTTCGACATCCGATGGCTCGTTCAACACTCGAAGAAATGACCGGTGATACCATTTTCCAACGGTATATACCAGATCCTCACCCGGAGACACTTGCCTCGCCGGAGAAGATCAGTCGACACGTTTTATGTTCCGGGCAAGTCTACTATGCTCTATTGAAAGCCCGTGATCAAAATAAAATGGACCATGTCGCCATTTCTAGGCTTGAACAATTGAGTCCGTTTCCATATGACTTGCTATCACAGCATATTGATAAATACCCTAATGCACAATTGATTTGGGCACAAGAAGAACCGTTAAATTCAGGGGCGTGGTCATATGTGGCTCCTCGAATACGAACGCTCATGAATCAATCGAAACGTCACGAAGGTTAGTAGGGTTTATTAAAATGATTGATATTCCTTTGCTTGATTTTTAAACCTGTATTGTATCAATAGGTAAGGCCGCTATACCTTCTACTCGTCCACCATCAGCTTCTCCTGCAACTGGTAACAAAAAACAACATATCCAAGAAGAACACAATTTGATATCACGTGCATTAATTGGCCAAGTGATGAAGCCTAAAGAAGTTATCTCTGGCGTACCAGTTTGGGAATAACATAAGGGGCTTATATTGTACGAAAAATTGTCTTTACATAGTTTTTGTTTATTTATTCGTGTATATTTGTATTCTTCTATCGATTTTTAGTTTTGAGAATAATAAAATCCGTGATTCCCATGCTAATTAATGTTCATAAACAAGGAACAAAATTACTTAAAGCGAGCATCAATAAATGTCAGTTGTATATTCCTATCCCAAAGTTTTCCTCTGAATTATTCATAAATTAATCAGATAATAAAGTTAAATCAATCCTAAGGTAGGTCGTGGTATCATGTGACAAAGGGAAACATATTTTTGTTAAGAAATCGTGTGCATTGATTATACAGTCATTGAGAAAATGTTAGTCAATTAATTGAATACAGATACACCATATTCAATGCTACAGAAGTAGCACAAATAGACCTTAGTCAGTGTTATGTGGAATACATTTAAGTAACACGGGATTAATGCACGTGATATTAAGCTATAAATTAAAGCCTTCGAGAATTCAATAAATGATTGATATTATGGACGAAATAAATTTAGAAGACTCGATATATTCCACACCCACTACTACGACAGCAAGAAGTACTTCACCACTTAATCAAGGAAATGACATCTCAACTGAGCATGTGACTAG